TTTTTGGCTGGAGTGCAGTGGTGCAATCATAGCTCACTGCAGCTTCAAACTCCTGGCCTCAAGTGATCCTCCCGGCCTCAGCTTCCCAAAGTGCTGGGATTACAGGCGTGAGCCAGCACACCTGGCCTAATATGTAAAGTTCCTAAATAGTGCCTAGCACATAGCAAACTCTTTGTAAAATGTCAGCTACTTATGTAAGCACTTCTGTTATAGAAACAAATTTCATTCCACCTATTATCCTAAAATGTGTTAGCTTCAGATTTCTAGTATTCAGCTATCTTCTTAACCTATATTTGGAGAATAAAGTACACATATCTTTACCTTTCTTTGTGTGTGTGTGTGTGTGTGATGGAGTCTTGCTCTGTCACCCAGGCTGGAGTGCCTTCCCACCCTGGTTAACCCACCTGTGTCTCTGCCTACCAGGTTGCGTTGTGGTGCAAACTCAGCCCACTGCAACCTCCATCTTCTGAGTTCAAGTGATTCTCTTGCCTCAGCCTCCTGAGTAGCTGCATTACAGGCATGCATCACCATGCCCAGCTAATTTTTGTATTTTTAGTAGAGACTGGGTTTCACCATGTTGGTCAGGCTGGCCTTAAACTCCTGACTTCAAGTGACCCACCCACCTAAGCCTCCCAAAGTGTTGGGATTGCAGGCGTGAGCCACCGTGCCCAGCCACTTATCTTTACTCTTCAGGATTTTTTCTCTTAGTACAAGTTAAAGAATTCATGCAGTGAATCTTCAAAATCAGAAGACAAATAATTTGGATAATATTTTATAATATTCACAGTAAAGTTATAAATGTATCGAAAACAACTAATAAAGTATAGGAAACTTTGGTTGTAAAATTGCCTATCTTGTTGACTCAGCATTTCTCTGCACCAGCACCTGTGTTGAAGAGCCTGTTAGAAACTCACCAATTCATGTGAAGAAGCCAGCAGCCCATGGTCAGCAATGGGGGCTTCCAGCTACCTTCCTTCACTCACGTTCAACCTCTCCTTGTTATTCTTAGTCTCTTGCCACCTGGAGTTCATCATCTAGATGGGAAGAGCAGGCATATAAACAGGAAAAAATAACCTTGATACCAGTGTGATGCGATTCTTACAGGGCTCTAGAGGAGGAAAAGTTCACTTTCACTTCGAGTGGTGAAGGAAAAATCAGAGAATAGGATTTAAGCTTGAACCTCGGATGATTAGATGGGATTGCAATAAGTAAAGAGAAAGTCTTTCCAAATAAAGGGGAGGCCTTACACAGGAGCACAGAAGAAAAAGGCCTGGCCTGTTTCAGGAGTCCATTTTGCAAGGGCCAGGCCAATCCAGTGACTTACTCAGAAAGGGAAGTTGGGAGAGATGGGTTGGGGCCAAATTGTGTAATTTGGAGCATTCTGAAGGCCAGGTTAAAGCCCTGACATTGTTGCCACCTTACCTGACTAGACCTGTACAAGCTGAAAGCAAGAGAACCCATAAAGCAGAGGGTGCACGTAGGCAGCCCCTTGGCACTATTGGACTGACTTGCAAAGGTATTTTGTTAGGTCTGTAAAGTGTGTGTGTGTGCGCGCACATGTGCCTATGCGTGTGTTAATTCCCAACATTCAAAAATTGGGGCAAATGGCTTCTGACTTCTCTTAAAAATGGCTGTAGGCTGAGCACAGTGCCTCACGCCTGTAATCCCAGCACTTTGGGAGGCCGAGGCAGGCGGATCACGAGATCAAGAGGTTGAGACCATCCTGGCCAACTCAGTGATACCCCATCTCCACTAAAAATACAAAAAAAAAAAAAAATAGGCATGGTGGCACGTGCCTATCATCACAGCTACTCAGGAGGCTGAGGCAGGAGAACCGCTTGAACCCTGAAGGTGAACACGGTTGCAGTGAGCCAAGATTGTGCCACTACACTCCAGCCTGGTGACAGAGCGAGACTCTATCTTAAAAAAAAAAAATCTTTTAGCTACGTACCAGGTACCAGGAAAAAGAAATAAAATGGCTGTAGTGGGTCTATGTTCCATGTAGCAGTAAGTGATTGGCCCCAGTAGCACCTATTTATTGAGACAGGACAGACACTGTCTGGTTTGCCACAGTCCCCATTAGGCCCACTTCTTCACGTGCATGGCCCACTTGGCACCTATGGACATTTGAATTTGCAGCCTCTGAAATAAAACTAAGAATCCGAATGTTCAGCACCTGGCTTAGTAGTAGAGCTCGCTGTGCTTACTTACCATGTGGCGTAGTTGTACATATTAAGGATTTATGGGGTATGTATACGTGGTATGGGAACTACAGCTGTAAATACAAGGGGAGAGTGCGCTCCTGTTGGTTATTCCCTTTTAAACAGGCAATCTGTCCTGCTCCAAACGAGCAAACTCTTCAGCCTTTTTATCATTGTCCTCCTCATCGTCTTTTTTATTAACCTAGCTTAAGTGAGTACAGGTCCTGGACATATAACCCAGCACCTGCTTTTAGCTGTAAGAAATGAGCCCAGAAACCTCAGCTCAGCATCCCAACTGGGGGCAGATGGCAGCACCCACCCTCTCAAATAGTTCAGCTCCTTAAACGTAGTTTGATATTTATATTTAATTCACAAACTCTTTCAGGGCAGACTAAAGTACTCACTAAAGGTAGAACTGAATTTTCCTATCAGCATGCGTCATAGGTGTTTTTGACTCCTATCAGCATGTGTCAAGCGTGTTCTTGACTCAGTGAGTTTCCATAAGATACCCCAAAACCAGGAAAGATTTTCCTGATAGTTTGGACTTTTTCTATTTTCTTGTGGCCTCTGAGAAGCCTCAGGACCATGTTTATGTGTCACTGAAACAAGTAAATTGAAGAGAATCATGGCCCTCACTTAAAGACTCTGCTTTTTCACCAGCACTAAAAGTTACAGTTAAAATATTTGGCTGTAAGTGAAGACTGAAATAGCTTCTGTAGGAGAGTTTTAGAATGAAGTCATTTAGAGGAGCAGGTGAATCCTAACCACATCTCTCTCTTTAGCTGGACTGAACCCAAACATGAATGTCACCAGCATGGATATGACAAGTGGCTTGTCGGTGAAGGACCCATCCCAGTCCCAGTCACGCCTCCCCCAGTGGACGCACCCCAACTCCATGGATAGCTTGCCCAGCGCCGCTTCCCCCCTGGAGCAGAACCCTAGCAAGCATGGTACGTCTGAGCTAGGACACCTGTGGTGGGATCACTGCTGGCTTATTAATCGATCATCCTATTATGTAGTGTGCCCATTCTATACTTTTCTAAGAATTGAGTGCTGAAAGTTGGTTTTAAAATAATCCATTCTATTACCGTGCACATAAGATCTCAGCTAGTCAGTGATCAGACTTCTTAAAACCCAACCATTAGATCTCAGCTACAAACCTAGAAATAATTTGAAAACCCCAGAGCAGCAAATAATCTAAGTCATAGCCTGTGTACTTTTTTTTAAAATATATCTGTATTCATCAACAAAAAACTTGAGTCTGCTGAAATGTTTTCAATAAAATGGTAAAACACAAATAGAAAATCGAATATACGGTATGGCAACTGCAGCTGTAAATACTAGGGTGCATTTCTGTTGGTTATTCCCCTCGATCAAGCAGTCTATTGTACTCCAAACTGGTATCCCCATCAGGAACTCTTCACTGATGGACACACCAGTAAGGTGGAAGCAAAAATGCTAACTGTAGAAGGTCATCTCACTCTCAAGCATTAAATTTAGCTCTGAGCTTCCTTGTAGAATAAACAGCAAAGAAAATTTGGTAGGTTATGTAGTTCTCTCTTGATACAAAGCATTCTAAGAAGAAAAAGGAAATTATGTCTCACAGTTACCGTATGGAAAATCATCACACCCTGCTGGTACCTTTCTTAGGAGGGCTCTGCTGCCTGTGGCTGCTTGGTTTGGTTCCGTATGAATTTCTAACATCCATTCTGTTCTTCCATAGTGAAGGTTTCAGACTAAAAGGAGGGAAGAGATAACAGCAAATTTGATAGCTAACCACAAAAACTCATAAGTTGTCCCCGAAAAGGTTTATTAAGGGCAGCTTCCCATGGTATAGATACATATTTTATGAAGATTTCCTACTGGACAAACTAAAATTGTTCTTCAAGGGTTTCAGTCTTTCAGAGCTGAAATTTGAGCTAACTGAAATGGTCACTGGCCAGACAATGATGGCTCACACCTGTAGTCCCAGCTTCTTGGGAGGCTGAGGTGGGATGATCGCCTGAGCCCAGGAGGTTGAGGCTGCCGTGAACCCTGATTACACCACGACACTCCAGCCTGGGTGACAGAGCGAGACATTGTCTCAAAAAAAAAAAAAAAAAAAAGGGGTAAAAATGGGGCCAAAAAACAGGAAAAAAAAAAAAAAAAAAATAAAAAAAAAAAAAAAAAAAAAAAAAAAAAAAAAAAAAATAATCTCAAAAAAAAAAAAAAAAAAAAAAAAAAAAATAGTCCTTGATTCTTAGGGAATCCTAGACAGACCAAGTCGTCCAATTCATGTAACCGAATAGGGCAAGGCATTGGACCTAGAACAGAAGGTGCATAGGGAGGCTTAGGGTATCTTCTGGTGTCTCTCAAATGGAGGTATTCACTTGGTTCTTTGTTTCCTCTTGTCCCCTTAGGTGCTATCCCTGGAGGTCTAAGCATTGGGCCTCCAGGTAAGTCCTCCATTGATGACTCCTATGGCCGGTACGATTTAATCCAGAACAGTGAGTCACCAGCCAGTCCTCCCGTAGCTGTTCCCCATAGCTGGTCACGTGCCAAATCTGACAGTGATAAAATCTCAAATGGCTCTAGCATCAACTGGCCCCCAGGTAAGACCATGTAACACTTCTGTGCAACAGCGGCAGGTCAGAACGTGCACTCCAAGCCTGCAGAGAGTGATTAGGCTGAGAGGACCCAGAAGCTGAGCTAAGGATCTGGAAGCGTTAAGCCCAGAGCTTTGGGATTTTCCTGGGAAATCCATTTGTCAGAACAATTTTGGGTATAGTTAACATCAGGCCTTTTTCTGTAACCCCTTAGTTTGACATGAGGACTAGAAGGGGTGGCAGGGAGGAAGCACACTGTATACCATCTAGTAAAACTATTTCCACCCTGTGTGAAAACTCTCTGAATATGGTAGCTGTAATACCTGGTTCTGGTTTGGTCCAAAGGATTGATTGCTTTCATGAAAGAGAATATAAAGTGTACCTCTAATTTAATTAGCAGATTATAAAAATTACTACAAACAGGACACAAAATCTCTTAAAATGTCATGAATCAATGTGCAGGTGTTCTGATCTGTGGCTTCCCGTTTTGGTTTCATAAACAGAATTCCATCCAGGAGTTCCATGGAAAGGACTGCAGAATATTGACCCTGAGAATGACCCTGATGTCACTCCTGGCAGTGTCCCCACTGGGCCTACCATCAATACCACCATCCAGGATGTCAACCGCTACCTCCTCAAGAGTGGAGGTGAGGGTGCAGCTCTTTCTACCTGTGCATGGATGGTCTCTCTAGACCCCTTTGGAGTCGTCAGGGGTGACAGGTTGAGCTGTGAGGCAGGGATGGTACAAGGCACAGTTGGCAGGCACCTTTTCTAGTCACCCAAAGCAGCGTGAAAAGACAGCAGGTAGTACTTACGGGAAATCTAATGCTTATGGAAATCTATTTGAGTCTCTGCTGGTTTTGTTTTTGTTTTTGTTTTTTGAGACAAAGTCTCGCTCTGTCACCCAGGCTGGAGTGCAGTGGCACGATCTAGGCTCTCTGCAACCCCCACCTCTCAGGTTCAAACGATTCTCCTGCCTCAGCCTCCCAAGTAGCTGGGATTACAGGCGTGTGGCACCATACCAGGCTAATTTTTATATTTTTAGTAGAG